CCTGTGTCTGGTCAGGAAGGCGAAGAAGCTGCAAATTAGACATCATGTTTATTTATCACTGGCCCGTTCACCTGTGTGTGCCTGCCAGGGCCCTATCTAGTTCCTGGTCCCTCAGAAGGAGATGGAGAGAGCCGACTGCCATAAGCTGTCCACTGACTTCAGCAACCACGACACTCTCAGCCTCACCCCCACACTAAGTCAATAAACAAGTTTTCCTGTTTTTCTTTTGTTGTTTTTAACTAAACCACTACCACTACCACCACCAACAAAGAGCTTCCGAGGCTCTACCAGATCTAAAGTCAGGATTCACACGTGCCCTAAGGTGGAGTAGCCCCTACAAGCTGTGTCCCCTCCTCTCCCTAGGGGCACGCCTGAATCTGCTGAAAGAGCTCACTTGTACACTGCCCTCCCCTCTGGGGCTCCCCCCACTCCTCAGCAGTTCTACCTGCTGAGGCGCCACGGCCTCCCGGAAGAGTCTTCCTTTACAATGCCCACCCAGACCTCCCACACATACAACTGCAAATGGGTAACAAGCAACGTTACACTTCAGACTACACCAGATGCCCCTCAACCATGGACCGCAGCGCCTCTGAGGCAGAGACCACATGCCAGCGTGTTACAGATGGCTTTCACCACAGAGAGGACAGGACAACCCGACTCTCGCCCTTCGACAACAAAAACACACAGAAAACAACAAAAATCAACCATTTTATACCTCAGAGCCACGGAAGCAGAAAATCTCCAATCCGACAGAACCCTCTGCGTCTCAGGAGGCATGTGTGGCTTGGCACAGACAGCTCCCAGCAGCCCATCTACCCACTCCCAGTCGAGAGACTTAAGCTCATCTGTAACACCCCATGGCACACATCATTTCATGTTTAGACTTTTAGCTTTCTGAGCTCTCTCTGGGTCTGACCAGCTGGGGTACTTGGGGGTAGCTCGAAGAAAAAGTGGCATTAGCTAAAACAATAACGTCAGGGCTAACCTCAGGGCCTCGTTCTGTGGCTCCAAATGTAGGAGAGATGAGCTTGGTCCAGACTTAAAGGGAAGTCTGAAGAATTGGTGAAGGGACACTGGTCCTTTTGAGCACGTAGTTCTGGCAGGCCTTGTCCTTGACATTCCCTCTGCCTTGCTTAAAAACCATTAGACGACATTCCTGAAGCCAGCCACCAAGGTCTATTCCCTTATTTGGCCAATCCCTCCTCCTGAGGCTGACTACCAAGGTTCAGCTATCAAATACTGAAGTCCAGCAATCAGAAGCCCCCTTTGGCTCACCTAATTAACACGCCCAATTAAACACCTCATCCTAACACGGGGGTTTTCCACTTTACCTTTATAAGCTGCCATTTCCCTGTGGGCCACGCCTGTCTCCTCTCTATCCAGAGGCAGTTCTTCCTTCCTCCGGGACAAAGACCTCGGCTCAATTTCCCTTGTTCCCTTCCCTGTCTCTTCCTCCTCCATCTCCTGTCCTCGACTCCTATTCCCTGCCCTCTGTCCCTCTGGCGCACATACATCTCTTTTGTGCTGAGAACTTGGTCTTGGGGGGTCCTGAGCCGACTTCGAGTTTCCCTACATTCGTGGGGGACGTGAAGAACAACAAAGACTCTCCCATTTGTGGGGGAGAAGAGATGGATACCAAGCGGAGACTATTTGTGTATGCAGCAGAGACCTAGGACGGAGAGCAGGCCACGCAGACTGGGCCACCTTCAGGCCTTGCTGGACCATCAGAAACTGGGGCCTCAGGCTGTGCTGTAGCAGATCCCCTGAGACTCAAAGGCCTGCGACGAAATCCGATCAGCGACTGGCTAACCAGACAGTGACAGATTCAGATATGGCCCTGGGGAATCGAGGCTTAAAAATAAATAAAAAGAACTTGAAAAAGTATATAGCAAGCAGGTCAGTGCTCATGCATTCGTCAGTACAGAAGCCAGAAGACTAGGCAAGGAAAGATGCTAAAAAAATGAGTTTAGGGGGATGTGGAGGGGAGGGGACAAGAGGAGAGGGGACAAGAGGGAACAAAAAAGCTAATCAGAGAAAAGAATCACTGAGTAAGCTAAGACTTTGGACGAAGAAAGACTTTAAGTCATTGAACACATTCTGTGCTAAGAAAGCCATACGGACTCACAACAGCCTTTTCTTCCCAGAAGGAGTCTATATCAAAAGGAATGAATAAGTCACAGGAAACTCTGAGTTAAAGGGACCAGATCTGACACTTAACAGCTAAGACAATGACAATTAGAACAGAACCGAAGAAAGAAAAAACAGGCAAAGATTTCCCAGTGAGAGGAAAAAGGAAACAAAAGTATGAAGAAAACTCACCACAGCCTATGAGACTGTGAGGCATGACCAAAAGACCAGCTCGCCAGTGCTGGATCCAGAGGACACCAAGGTGGGCCATGCATACTGAACCGCTCCTGCCGTCCACAAACCCAGAACGCTGAGGCTGGAGCATCACTGCAAATGCCAGTCTAGCCAGGGCCTTATAGCAAGACTGAAAACAACGACAATTCTTAAATGAAGTAATAAGCAAAGGCTTAGCAAGCATGACATACTCTGATTTCCGTATTTAAGGCACTCAGAAGAGCTCTACGTAGGATAAACTAACTGCACGTCACAGTTAACCCCAACACAGTCTACCGAAAGACCAAGAGAGACAAGCCAGAAAAGCACACGAGGGACAGTGGCACCGTTAGGAATTCCTTTAGAACCCAGAGAGACAGAGCACTGGCCGAGCTGGAGAGACTGAGGTTATCAACACGGAATTCCACAGTAGGTAAGGGGTGGGACATTTCAGGACAAACAGAAAATTAGAAATGCTTGTCGTTAGCAGAGTGCCCTCGAAGAAAGATCAAAGACCCGTGTGAGATGAAAGGACACCGAATAAAGGAAATAAAGAGAGTCATTAAAAAGAATTGTGCAGTTGAGCTGCTGGGGGAGGGGGACATTTTTCTTTGGGGGCGTAGCCATTTAGAAGGCTGCTCATGCTTTGTGAGCGGCCCTACACTGATTTGCAAATAACCTGTGCCAATTAAGTCCGACGGGCTATAAAGAAGGGGGGAGGAGAGGAAAACGAGGACGAAGAGGAGAAAGTCAGAGGGCTCAGAGGAAATAATACTAAGTATTAAATATATGTGATTATATATCAGTCAGCAAAAGAGAAGTAAGAGGCACTGCATTGACAATTAAATTAGGCGTAAGTGGTTTTAAGAGAGCAAATCCAAACCCAAAGGCTAGCAGAATGGACCATCCCTAAGAGCATCACCCAATCACACCACAGCTGCAAAGATCCGCATCAGAATCAAAACACAAAAGAGCCAGAGAGCTACAGCAGAGAATAACTACCATGAGAAATGCAGAGTGGCCACCCAAGAGGCAGACAGAAATAAACTCTAAGGGGGAAAGTCATTAAAATCAAAGAGAGGCACTTTACAGTAAGAGGGCCAATACATCCATAAACATGTATGACCATAACATCAGAGCTCCTCTGTGCTTGCAGCAACAACAACAAAACAACTTGCAAAACTAAAGGGAGAAACAGATAATTCAGCGACAGCAACCCAGAATGTCAGTACCCAGTCTGCGAGCAGACTAACACACTCGGACATCACAAATGAGCAGAGCTAACACTGCAGGAATAGAGTACTCCTGCCCAAAGCAGACACACATTCTTCTACAGGTCCCACGGATGGAACACGCTTCAGTATGCCAGACTATAAAATGAGCTGCAATAAACATGAATGGACCAAAAATCCTAAGGTAACCTCTCCCGTCAGAGTGGGATGGCATAAAAACGCACAACCAAGGAAAACCTGGGAAACTGGCCAACATGCAGAAAGAAAACAAGCATCTCCAAGTGACGGTAGGTGGGGAGATCACAGGACACCCCCAGGGAGCAGCTGAAGCAGGGCTCAGGGAGTAATTTATAGCTTGACATTTTTTGTCTATATTGAATTAGATGATTTCAAACTGATAAGCTTTATACCTCAAGAATTAGAAAAGGCTTTGTGAGTTACTTAACTCTTGACACTGTGACCCTGCCATGTGAAGAAATTGCTGTTGTTTTTGGGTTTGTGGCATAAAGCTCGTTGGTGTGTAAGGTACTGAACACGGCAAAGACAGATCATGAGCAATCATGGTAAGAGGAGATCCCACGACTGTGGCTTGCCCCGCTGGCCGCTATGCACACCATCCGTGTTACTGACTGAGCAGGGCAGAGAACCAGGCCAGCGGCATCAGGATAATTTCATCCCTATGAAGGATCTCCTTTTCTTTTAAAAAAGATTAATTAACTGATCTATGTGTATCATGAGGGTTTGCCTGTATGTGTGTGTACACCACACGCCTGCAGCTGCCTACAGAGTCTAGAAGCGGGAGCTGGAGTCCCAGAACTGGAGGAAGAAGCTGGGAACAGAGCTCGGGTCCTCCGTGGGAGCAGCAAGTGCTCTGTAAAAGCTGGGCCATCACTCCAGCCTAGGCATTTCCTTGTCAAGTACGAGGAGAGCATCTTCCTTGATGTTTAAAAAAAGACGCTGAATACTTCACATCGGGCAGTGTCTAACAAGATGAACTCTGCTTCTGATGATGCTAAAATGTCAAGGACATGACTCAAAATGTCAACTACCCCAAAACAACAGGCTGCTGCTACACTCAGACTCACTGTCCCACCCATGTAGTGCGACACCTGGAGGACAGTCCTGGGTCCCAGCTCCTGAACATCCCCCCATCGCCTCAGGAATTATGCCTGCTTTCTGCAACATGAATCACAAGGACTGGTCAGAGACAACATAGGCACTTGTGTCTTACAGTGACAGTGTTATGTGGCGAAGCTGACAGTATGACAGCAATCTAAGCCCCTGCTGGTTAGTGGTCACTGTAAAAATGCACGTAGCTGCCAAGTACGTGTGTTCTCCTTTGAATGAATGTCTGTGTCACCTCTAAACTTCTCCCTTTAAAGGAAAAGAATTCATCAACAGATGGGAGTTAGAAGTGGTGTTGCCAGCCACGACTTACTGCCAGCGCCCCAACTGATAAAGCTGGGGAGGCGACCGTCAATGCGATGTTTTACCAGAGACTTGTAAACTCGCAGTAGCGCTCACGCTCAGTTTCTTTGCTGTTTTTTTGCTTTCTTTTCACAGACAGAAGCACTAAACAAATCAATCATAGCTCAGGATCTGTGTCACCGGTGGGTGCGGCTGGTCCCGAAGGTAGGCTTCCTGCTCAGGAGGCAAAGCACTTTTGCCTTACAGCCAAACGGCACCCAGGAGTCTGTTATTATTTCAAAGACATGTCTACCCAGAGGGGGTGCCCAGGGGAGACAGCACACTTTTGGAGCTGCGGTTGCATTCAGAAGCAAAGCGGTGAGTGAGAATAAACTCTTACGGCTGCCTCCATGCATGTACCTCCACTGCGGAGCCTGGGTTCCCCAGCAAGGGTTCCTGGAGAATCTGGTTGGCAGGCCATCTGAACCTCCTCTAAGGTGTGTGTGTCTTCATGTCTCCAGCAGTCCCTTTCCACATTCTTGGAGCATGTTTCAACCTTTCAGCATTTCTGTATTCCTCCAGAGCAACTTCCAGAGGTGCCTGTAACAGGCTTCATTTTTGCAACTCCAACACCATAAGCTGGCTGGCTGGACACAGAACGGGGTTGACATTAGGATGAGGTGGGGTGGAGGGGAGGTCTCAGTGTCCTTATCTTTGGCACTAGATGATTAGAGACTTCCTTTCAGTTTCCAGGCACTGAGTTCTGTTCCACTCAATCCAATCTCTGACAGCATGAACCCAGAGGAAGATCTGTTTCTGTCACAGTCTGGCTTTATCTAGGAGTCTGCCTGGGGAACCATGGGGGTCAGAGCGGAAGGAGAGTGGTTTCCTGTCCACATGTGGAGGGGTGGAGGGAGTCCCATGTCCACATGTGGATGGAGGGGTGGAGGGAGTCCCATGTCCACATGTGGAGGGGTGGAGGGAGTCTCATGTCCACATGTGGATGGATGGGTAGAGGGAGTCCCACGACCACGTGTGGATGGGTAGAGGGAGCTCCAACACAGTCTGGTTCTGTTTTCTGTTTCCTACTCCAGGTTCTTCTAGGGACTTTGGACACATGTGGCAATATCTGCAATCCTCTGAGTTTGTGGAGGGGAAGACAGTCAAGGATGCAATAGAATGTGCTCTGCATAGAACATGCCCCAGCATAGAGGCCAAAGCCTGAGGCCCTCTGCTGTGCTAGCCTATCTGAGCCTCGGCCTAGAAATTACAACTGCATTGACCCATCCTGAGGCTGAGCCTGGAGACGTCCTGGTGTGTTAGAAAGGCCCAGAACCTTCAACCTTGCTTCACTGTCCTTAGGAGATCAGATGGACTTACTGCTCGTCTTCTCTACCCTCTCTTGTTCTGATTTATTCCTCCTCTCAACTCATTTACAAGACAAGCCGATGCCATTAATGCCCTAGGGCTATGGTGGTCTTTTCCTTTCAGGGTTATGACTATATCCTCAGGGGACCCCCTGTATACTACACCTAGAACCCAGCCAGCCCAGAGTATGGAATTTGACATCTAACACCTAACATGGGGGGACTGCAGCTAAGGGAAAGGACACAGTAAGGTAAGATGCATAATTAAGACTTTCCCCTCTTCTTTGGAGTTGGCGGATTTTATTATCTTTGTTTCCTCCTACCAAATGAGGTAGGAGGAGAAGGAAACGGTACCCGTAGGGAGAGATCTCACGTACCTGCAACACTGACCATGCCCGTTTGGGTGTAGTCACCAATATATGGGGGAGGGGAGGACAGAGATAAAGGACAAGGGAGAAGGGATCGCGCTCTCTTTTGGGGTTCCAGCTGAGGTCGGAGACCAGCAGATCGTTGACCTCAGTTCTCGGCTTCTCTTGTAAGTGACTTCTCTCTAATAAAGTACCATACAACTTCCCTTCCTCATATAGTTGGTGTGGCTTGATGTCCCTCGTCAGGTACCTGCTGAGAATAATGCTGTACCCTGAAATATATGCCAGGTTTCTGTTTAGTTTTTGTTTCCATTTTGAAACTTAAAAAAAAATTTATTTTGCTGTTTGCATGAAAGTCATGGTAGGTGCACATATGGGGCAGAGTCCATGGGGCCAGAAGATGGTTTCCAGAAATGGGTTCTATCCTTCCACCAGGGCTTCCAAAGATGGAACCCGGGTCACCGGGCTTGCACAGTGTGGTGGTTTGAACGTAACTGGCCCCCATAAGCTCACAGGGAGTAGCACTATTAGAGGTGTGGCCTTGTGGGAGCAGGTGGGTGTGGCCTTGTTGGAGGAAGTGTGTCACTGTGGAGGCGGGGACTGAAGTCCGTTTGGCTCAAGCTATGCTTAGAGTGGCAGACAGTTCACTTCCTGGTGCCTGTGGATCACGATGAGGACTCTCAGCTCCTTCTCCAGTACCATGTCTGCCTGCGTCACACCATGTCCTCCCATGGTGATAATGGATTAAATCCCTGAACTGTAAGCGAGCCACCCCAATTAAATGTTTTCCCTTATAAGAGTTGGAGTGATTGTGGTGTCTCTTCACAGCAACAGAAACCCTAAGACACACAGCAAATACTTATACTCACTAAACCATCTGAAAAGGCCCTGTTCCTTTGTGTTTTGTTTCACTCTGCCTTGGGGGGGGTTTGTTTAACTTATTATTATTAATTATTTTTTGAGACAGGCTGCTCTGGCACTCATGTACACCAGGATGACCTTGAATCTGAGGCAATCCTCCTGCCTTGGCTCCCTGCGTGCTAGAATTACCAGCAGGGGCTTCCTGTCCAGCTTTTGTGTTTGTTTCTTTGGGTCCCTGGCCCTGGAGAACAGCAATGTGCATGCAACCCCATCTCCAGTATCATTTGCTCAGCTCATACTGCTCTAAAAGAGACCGAACGTGTAAGAACTGTGCTCCTTATCTTTAACCGTGGCAAGAAGCAGTCTGACCCTCTGTCAGCATCCCACCAGCTCTGTGATCATGAGGAGAAATGGCTGACACCACAGTTTTCAGCCTGGCTCAGCCAGCATGCTCTACAGGTTAGCTGTAGCTGGTTTATCAGCGGGTTTATCACGACCTAACGCCTTCCGTATCTGTAATGTAACTTCTGCACTCAACCTATCTTGTTCAGAGGTGGGAGGGACACACTGGCTGACTTCAGGATGCCAGAAACACTATTTAAGGAAACACTTGACTCGCAGGAAGAAGGCTGTGACTTCTTTGCAGCCTTCCCTTTGAGAGTTGTCTTGTGTAGCTATTTAGCCAGATGGAAATTTTCCCTCCCTGGAGTGAGGCAATTTAAGACTCAGGAAGTAAAATTTACAAGTCTCAGGAAGTTCCTGAAATTATAAGGTTAGTAAGGTTATTACCCAAGCAAAGAGTAATGACTGTTGGGGTTGAGGTTCCCCCCCTCAGCCTTACTGAAGCTGCACAGTGAGCTCCAAGGATGGAGTTTTCATGTCCATCACCCATGCTGGGGTGGGCTTTTCAGCGATGCATCTGCTTTTGAGTCACCCCTGCTCCTGTAAGTGACCCCAATAAGCTCGCTGTGTCACTAAGTTAGACTTGGCTGGAACAAGTTTATTGGTTTGCCTCAGGTGCCTATCTAGGGTAAACAGCCATTTATTTGTTCAGCTCCCTAAGAAAAAAGCCACACAATAGTTACTGAGTAATAAAACCAAATGCACTGTGGTACACGGCTTTAATACCACCACTCAGGAGACACAGACAGGTGGATCTCTGTGAGTTGGAGATAAACCTGGTCTCCTCAGCTAGTTCCAGGTCAACCAGGGCTACACAGTAAGACCCTCCCTCTCTTAAAATGGCTGCCTTTGAGGAATGCTAGAGAGATGACTCAGCAGTTCAGAGCACTTGGTTTTCTTGAAGAGGATCTGGGTTCAATTCCTAGCAATCACAAGACAGCTCACAGCCATCTGGTAACCCCAATTCCAGCAGATTCTATGCTTTCTTCTAGCTTCTTGTAGGCACCAGGAATGGCACACAGGTAGTGTTCATAATATGCATGAAGGCAAACGACACAAACATAAAATAAAAATAAGTTCCTTTTTAAAAAGCAAACAAAACGGACAACCAGAGGGATAGGACCAGGGCCTGGGTCGGGAAGAGAGAGAAGCAGGAGGGACCAGAAGTTCACAGCCCTTTAACAGCTGCTTCAACAGCTACCCACCCCAACTCAGGAACTTGACATCTGTGTTTCCAAAGAGACTCATTATTTATACAAACAAGCACTCCTCCAAAAGCACCAGCTCCAAGACAGCAAGGTACCCTTAACAGGCCACAGCCCCGTTTAAAATATTTACCCAAACAGATGCCAAGTCTAGCACCATGTAAAGTGGATGGGCGAAGAGGCCTGAAACACTTTCATCCTGGAGGTTAAAAACATGCAGACAGGAGGGTGTAATGAGAGCCAGCCATAAGGGGCCTCCTGCCACTCTCCGTGGCCAGGACACCCTCTGCGGGGGAAGGCTATCTCCCCAGCGTCTACCCAGCTTGCACTTCCCACCAATCGTTATTTTTGCCTATCAATAATTCCAAGCATGGGGGAGGGGCAGACCATGGCATGTCAGGGAGCCTAGTTCTGTCTTCACAATACAGGCTAGTTGCCACCTTGACACTCCTCTCCTCCTTTCTCCACGGAGACTATCACCTTGAGTTTTCACTACCCTCTAAATTTCACAGCCCCCTTCTCCATAACTACCTGCCCAGGTTCAAACCCCAGTCTCCTGCATGTTGGAGTCTCCAGCACCTTGCTCACCCCAGTATACAAGGGTTTGGCTCAAACTGCTTTGAGTCACTGTTTGCTCGTGGGAGATTGTATGTCTGTGTAAACTGAGGCACTCAAGTGTCCCCTCTGCGCTGCCTGAAGTTAGTGGAACCGGGTGAGGCCCAGCCAGACAATCTACGGAGAGAGGGAGAGGTACTGCCATCTGGGACGAGGCTACCGATACAGGTGTGTCCTGTAAGAAACAGAACACTTCTGGGGATTTGTGTGCAGCTGGGTTCCCTTGAGACAGGCCCCCTGACTGGACACTTCCAGTTAGAATCACCCAGGCTTTGCAAGGCAGATTAAACCATACGGCTGGTTGGAAGTCACAGACTGCGGTAATTTGAGATAATTGGTGGTGAACAGGATATGCTGATTCAGGGTTTTGGAGACTGTTATGAACTCAGGTCATTTTGTATGATCTGTGACACGAGGAACCAAGAAGCAGCCATGGAAAGTGGGGGGGGGGGGGCGTGAAGGGCTACACTTAACAATCCCAACAATGGCCGGGCATTGGTAGTGCACGCCTTTAATCCCAGCACTTGGGAGGCAGAGGTAGGTGGATCTCTGTGAGTTCCAGGCCAGCCTGTTCTATAGAGCAGTTCCAGGACAGCCTCCAAAACAATACAGAGAAACCCTGTCTCGAAAAACCGGAAAAAAAACACTAAAAACCAAAAAACAATCCCAACACTGGAGACAGACAGGCCCCTAGGGCTCTCTGGCCTGACAGCTTTCTCGGTAAGTTAAGAGTCAATGAGAGACTGACTCCATCTCAAAAACGTGAGGTAGTTAACACCTGAGGAAAAACAGCTGGAGTTGACCTCTGGCCTCCTTATGTACACACTGAGTGCACATACATACATGCACACAGTGAGTACACATATGTGCACGCACACACTAAATTAAATATATAGTAATAAACTGACTGGCACCCACCTCGAGGGCAGGGTCACAGGGTGTTTAGTCAGGCTAAGGGTTACTGGGAGCGCTTCCACCCAGGTAAGGTGACAGGACTGCAATGAGCTCCACTGTAGACAGTGGCAGAGCTCTCAGAATGACGCACACCCCACAGACCCACCAACTCCAACTCTCAGAACCTTCTAGTCACACAAAACAGTGTCTGTTCATGCCACAGACAGCAGATCTGTGAGCCTACATGTTCTGTGTGTGATACAAGACTGGGTCTTCAGTGTTCTAGTATGGAGATAGATGCTCGAAGCAGGCTAAGATAGACCCCCACACACACACACAAAAAGACAGAAAACTATAGATCTGAGGAGATGCCTCAGCAGACAAAGGACTTGCTTCACTCTACAATCCCAGCACCTCAACACTCCGCTACTGTGCCAAGCGAGCTAGCCTCGGGGCACACTGCATGCTTCTGGAAATGGCCTCTTCTCTGGTAAAAGCAACTGAAGTTTATTTTAACTTACTGGGCTCAGAACCGCCAGACTTACTCTTTCTTCAGCCTCTGGCATCAGGAAGGCTCCTGTGGCTCAGAAGGGGTTAACCGTACTGTCAGCCCCATAAAGGGGCTGAGCACAGGCACAGGGTCACATGGTGCTTGCCCTCAGCCCTGGATTCCAGCTGAGGCTGGCGGCAGCAATGCAGTACAGAAGAACCGGGGGTGCAGGGGGCCCTGAGTACATCTCTGGCAGGTGGAAAGCGCATGTCTGCATGCTTCCTGCCTGGTGCCCTAGGCCGTCTCTCTCCGTCGACTCTTTTCCAAGAACACTGACTTTGTTCACGAACCTCCGAGGACTTGTTTATCACTTTCTGAAGATCTGCCTCCTGGTCCTATCGAATTACGGGTCAGAACGTCAAGGTAAGAACTTGGAAAGACACAAACATCCAGTCCCCATCATGGGGCAGCTGAAAAACTTTAAAATAAAAGGAAGAAAGAAAAGAAAGCCATGGACTGGCAAGTGCTGTGGGAATCTCCCCTTTGTTGCTGCAACAAAATACTTGTGAGAATCAACCTAAAATGTAGAAGGCTGTGTTTGCGCTCAGGGTTTCGAGGTTTTAGTTCATGGTCCCTTGAGCCTGTGGCTTTGGGCCTGTGCCAACACAGCCCACCATGGTGGGAGATTACCCCTTGGTGGTCAGAAGCAAAGAAAGCCTCACCGATGGACTGCAGTTCCATTACCAGTAACCTAACTTCTTCCCACCAGGCCCAGCTTCTCAAGGGTTCACCCCTCCCATCAGAACTACAGACTGGTGACTAAGCCCTTTTGGCAGACTCAAGAGCCAAAGCAGAGCACAGCTGACCGAGTCTCAGCTATCCACCGGGTGACACTCATATACTTGTGTGATGGGAACTACAGATAGCACCATGAATGGTTGGCTATGCTCCCAAACCAGCTTGTTCCAGTTGTATCTGCTACTGCAGTTATGCTGCATAGCTGTCTGTGACAAAATGTGACAGCAAATAAAGACAGACAAGAAGGAGGTCCTTTCTACAAAGCCTAAGTGCCAGGGTGCTGCCTTGGCTCAGGTTTACATGGGAGGCAGAGAAGGCACGCTGGCACAGGAAAATTCTGACCACCAGGTGGGCTGCACTCAAGCGGCCCCAAATAGTCCAAGCTGTCTTTATTTATGCTTTAACAGACCTTTCCACCAGGCTTACACGGACAGCCTTATTACCGGCTTCTGTTTTTAGCTTTTAAAAAAGACACCACAATCATTGTAAAAGCCCCAATGCTCCTCTTTATGCTTTCCCAGATACACTTCCCACCCCCTCCATAACCTTGTTCTAGACAGAGAGGTCAGCATCTCTGCTGCTTAACTGAGCATCGAGCAGACACATCCTGCTCTGGCAGCGCTGATGTCAGCTGGCAGCTACTGGCAGTTACAGAGTTAAAAAGTAATGGACATGGGTTCAGTGCTTAAAGGACAACAGTGCTCAGACCCAAACATTTCTCCCATGTCTGCAAGACATGCTTTTATACCATTCCCATTTCTGTTTGAGGGTCCTGTGCCACAATCTCTCTGTAAAGGGCAGATTTAGACGGTACTCTTAGTCTCTCTGTAAAGGGCAGATTTAGACGGTACTCTTAGTCTCTCTGTAAAGGGCAGATTTAGACGGTACTCTTAGTCTCTCTGTAAAGGGCAGATTTAGACAGTACTCTTAATGTCTCTGTAAAGGGCAGATTTAGACGGTACTCTTAGTCTCTCTGTAAAGGGCAGATTTAGACAGTACTCTTAATGTCTCTGTAAAGGGCAGATTTAGGCGGTACTCTTAATCTCTCTGTGAAGGGCAGATTTAGACAGTGCTCTTAATCTCTCTGTAAAGGGCAGATTTAGACAGTACTCTTAATCTCTCTGTGAAGGGCAGATTTAGACGATACTCTTTTCCCGTCCCACTGTTCCACACTTCTTCCACCAATACAAGCTCCTGTGTATGGCAAAGATGGTCTATCCATCCATTGTTTTACATTGCATTATTTCCTCACTGGACCATACTAGATCCTGTCATTGATTCTATATGCTTGGTGCCCAGGGAACTTACTCTTAACAGTTGGCATTATGTGTATTCCTGAGGCTTTCCCCTATTCGGTGTATGCATGCCTTACTCTCCTTCCCAGAGCTGCGAGACATGGCTAAGGCTCCAAGTGTTGTTTTCTCCTATGTGCCTAAATGTCTCTATTGAGTCAGAAAAGTTCCCAGAATTGGGAGTTGCAGTTAGTAATTCCAGGTAAGAGATTTGAGAAACATTAGCCCCCTGCTGAAACTTAGGGGGAAAATATTTGAGGCAGAACAGAATTTCCAGGGACAATTAAAACTTGTGCATGTGTGACTGACAAAATAAAACTAAAAACCGCCAAAAGAATCAACAGTATATGTAAGAGAAAAGAACTTGCAAGCTGCACAAATTTTGCAAATTCCCAAACTGTCCCATGGTCTACTGAGAACCCATTTCCATGGGTGTCTTACCCTGAGGACACCCATTGGTCAGATAGTTACATGCTGATCCTAGACTCAGCTACGGGGCTCCTGAAAACGAAGCTTGAGGGTTTAGATAAACAGTAAAAGTGGGATGCTTTCAAAGTGACAATTGGGTATGCATGTGACAACAGACATTTCTGTGGTTAAAGGAACAAAAATCTATTCAGTTGCAGGATTTTTTCTAGAGCTTAGAGGGCTTACAGCAGTCAAAGAACTCAGCCTACAAGTTGCTGGCTATACCCCTGAGGGTGGCTCACACAGTCCTTGTCATGTCACACATGAGGACTTTTACAGAGTCAGCAGGAACCACCAAGCTGTTCCTTGGTTGACTGTTTCTGCTGATATGTAGGGCTTCTGCCTGCAGCTGTCAGAAGCGCAAAGCTGGGTAGCTGGTGTGGTGGTATGTTTGGGTCTCCGCAAGTAGAACCAAATGACTATGTATTACAGCAGGTAATGCCGGGGAAGCATCTGCTTGAGCAGAAGGCAAAACCACACCTGTCAATCCTGCAGGCGCTTCAGGGTTCAAACTCGCTTCTCAGAAGGTGTGTGCTGACGGCTTTTCGTGTTTGCCTTCTAAATCCTCTCTCAGGATCGCTCTGGGCCAGGCGTGGTTTTCACCGTGAAATAGATGACATGACAGTGAGAACTCTTCCCGGAAACCATACCAGCCAGCAGCCTCTTGAACCTCAGGAAGTTGAACTCCAGTCTGAATTTTGCTATCACCACAGCCTGGGGCATGATGGGAAGCTGCTTAGTCCCTCAGAGGGAGGTGCTGGACTAATCGGCTTTACTGAGAATTGCTGAGAATGGAATTAGAGTGAAGAGTCACCTGCATGCTGCCCCGCTCCTGCTGGGCAGGAACCTACAAGAGGTAGGAATGCCATTCCTCAAATGAGCCTCCAGGAGCCACACTGCAGGGAGCAGGAGGAGATATGTGGTCAGGGGTGTCTGGGGAAAACGGGGTGGTCCTGGTTCATCCCACTTTAGAAAACCAGCTTTTCCTGGGGGTTTTTCCTTCCAGCCTCCTCCAGCAAGGTCCCCCTTAAGGAAGAGGGACATTAATTATGGGTTGCAATAGTCTTTGTTTTCTGAAGTTTGTCATCTGCTGCCTTGCTGGCCCTAGAGAGACATCTTATTCCAAGGGTGGCTGACGCTTAGAGACAGCAAACAATGGCCTGTAAGTTATCTCCTTCATTCCAGGCCAGGGATTGGATGACTGGGACAACTCAAGACACATGATCCAACCCCAAATACGCTTTGTTTATTTAGGAACCTTTTCCTCAGAGCTATAATCAAGGGGTCCACACAGGTCTTCTCTACTTACTCACTCCCGGGCTTCGCAGGCCCTCTTCTCTCTCTACCTCCTCACTCCCCGGCGTCCTACATCTTGAGTTTGTGAGTATGAAAACTTATTTTGTGACAATAATGTCCATATCTGCATACCTCATTATCCCTGATTAAAGCAAATGCTGGCCAGATGTGGTAGTCCACACTGTACTCCTAGGACTTGGCAAACTGAGGCAAGTGGCTTCAAGGGATTCAAGGCCAACCAGGGAAACCTGAGCAACATCGTGTCTCAAAATCAAATTGAAAAAGGGCCAGCTCAAGTGCTAGAACTCATTTAACATACACAAAGCCATGGCTTTAACGCTCGGGAGTGCTCAGTTCACGCTCGGACACACACACACACACACACACACACACACACACACACACACACACACACACGCACACGCGCGCGCACACACAGAGAGACAGAGACAGAGACAGAGACAGAGACAGAGAGGGGGGTGAGAGGAATTTTCCTGATAGTCCAAGAGCCCTGACGCCCTGTTTGCTTTGGTGTTGTTCAGATCCTTGAATTCTTCATTTCTGCTACCGCCTATACAGCGCCTCCATCTCTGTTTACCTGTATCCATGTGAATCACCCAGATCCAGTCTCCAGAAATGGAAGCGTAGATGAAAATGAGCAGGCTGAGTGAATTACTGGTTGGCAGCATCCAAACCTCACATTTCCCACATAAGTAACCTCAAAGCAATGATGCCTTTAAGCCCCTGAGCCAGGCACCTGGGGAGGCCTCAGATGCCAGTCAATCTGGAGTCAAAGTGAGTGTGAGAATCAACATTGAATGTGGTTTCCAAACACAAGGCAGAATCAGCACCTCTGGGGGGAATCGGGCACTCGCACGTGGGTGTGTGTATGCGTGAGTGTGTGTGAGTGTGTGTGTGTGTGTGTGTGTGTGTCCCGACTTGTACACGGGGTACTCATAAAGGGCACTTGGAGCCGTCTGTATGTAAACTGCGACAGTGGTCAAGAGAAACTCAGTGACCTGTTAGACCTGCAGTTCTCTGCTGAGTCCCGTTCTTCTTGAAGAAAAATGCCTCCCTTTTCAGGTCTTCTGACCAAGAAACAAAGCAAGGACTGTCATGGCAGCAGGAGGCAGCCAAAGCTTGCCATGTCCAGGGACCCACTTCTGGAGCTCTGAAAGCAGAGGCGTTCATCGGGTTCGGTCTCTGCCGTCAGCCTCGAGTTGTGACGTCAGCTGACCTTTTGTCTACTTTATCTCCTTAATCGAAGAACTGTGACTTATCCTGAGGTATGACGTCGCCAACTGCAGTCCTTAGCACAGTCAATCTCTATTGCCCAGGTAGCCATGGACAGAAGTCACCAAAACATTTACTCTTAACAAACAAAGCATAAAATAATAATAACAACAACTCAAGGCCTGGAGAGATGGCTCAGCAGTTAAGAGTGCTTGTTACTCTGGTAGAGGACCCAAGTTTGGTCCCGAATACCCTGTGGGTAGCTCACAATCACCTGTAACTCCAAATATAGGGAATCTTCTGCCTCCTTCTGGCCTCTGCAGGTACTGCACTTGAGTGCACATTGTCGCCCCCCCATACATGCACATATTTTTTGTAGTTTTATAATAAAAAAGTGAATTTTTTTGGCAAGTGATCCCCCCTTAAGATGAATTCACAGAGAAGGAAACGGGACAAACTTGAAGCAAACATGAAGCAAACACTGGCTTCCCACAGTTTACATCACTCACCCCTGGGAGTACAAGCCCTACAAATTACAGCTGGTGGTGCTCTCACAAACCTAGACCTTCACTCCACAGGACTTCTGCTTGTCTGAATGAATTTATGCTCTCAGTCACGGAGGGCTCATTACACACATGGATTGTTTAATTGGTACCCTGCCTGTTCCCGGATGTTGGATCCAGGCTGGGGAAGGTTTACCATCATTGGAACAGCACGCAGAATCCACACAGTGAAAGAAGTCAAGCAAAGACTCAGGGTGAGACCAAGACACAAGAAAGCATCTTTGTGGCTGTAAACAGGTCCTCACCGTAGGACTTGCCTTCTGGGCCCAGGAGGAGCCTCTCAACAGTGAGGTGTTAGGGAAACCAATCCCAGCCATGAGCCCAGAGCACCCTTCAGGAAGATTCTATGGATACCAGTCAATATGAATTCTAGGCTAGCTCTTGCAGACCTCAGAGGCTTTTCTGACTTCCCCTTGTCCAAAGGAACCATCAGAATCACACAGTTCTCAGAGACAGGTATTTATGGCCTGAGAAAAAGCAGGGGTCCCCAAGCAAGAGCAGCCCTTGGATGCCAGGAAAGAGCAAAAACCACAGGGAAAGCTCGGTGTGGCAGAAAGCAAGAGCCAGGTAAGCACAGCAACGGTGCTACACGCTCACTGTGAACCGCGTGGCATGGTCTCTCCCAGGAGAGACGCTCGAAACTAAAATGTCTTATCAGGTGGCTGGGAAGATGGACCAATCAGGAAAGAGTTTGCTGTCCAAAGCACGAGGACAGGGATTTGCACCCCTGACACCCACATAAAAAGCCAAGTCTGGGGGCACACATCTGAAACCCATGTTAGAGAGGCAGAGACAGGAGCATCTCTGTAGCTCACTGGCCAGCTTGGGTGAGACCCACTTTTAGTGAGAGACGGTGTCTCAAAAATAATATGGAGGGCAATGACAGAAGACACATGCTTGCACGGGTACATATCACTTTCACACGTGTGCACGGGCAAACAGTACACACACAATAAATAATTAAATGTTTAACCCTGGCTTGTTTCTGATACTGTAAAATGTCTTCCCCCAGTAGTGTGGAACAGCCAGGCTCTGCCATTTTCCTGTAGAGGACACTGGCCCTGTCCTTAGCTGGTGTGCATTCTTTGAGGACAGTGATGGCTCTGGGCTGCAGCATGAGAGACTCTGGATGACCAGGGCAGGACAATGGCTTCCTCACAGCCCAGTGGCTGAAGATACTATCTAGCCATGTCATACGAACAGAAAACAGAAACAAACCTTCACACTAACCAACTAGGGAAAGCCGTCCAGCTGCTAAGTTCACACTTTGGAAGAAGTCCACAAACTTAAAAAGAAAAGCCAAACTGTAGTTCCCTGGGGTTTACAGACTCCCTCCACCAATCAAACTATGACGTGACCACATCGTGCTCCTGACTTCTCACAATAAGAAAACATCCAGCTTCTCTCTTGCAAGGGTCAAGATGATGCAAAGACGATGGGACTCCATAGAAAGGAAGGCACTGAGTCCAAAGCTAACACAGTCAGGTCTGCGTGTCCTGGGATTCAACCAACTGCAGCTTCAAAATGGAGGAGGTAACACTGGGTCCTATGAACGCAGTGCAACTAGACCCATAACGGTTGAATCTGTACTAAACACACACGGACCACTGTCCTTGTTGTTATCCCCTAATTAATACAGTTGTGGTGGTTAACAGGACCTGGGTCACCCAAGAGGCACGCCTTGAGTCACAACTGCAGGGGGTGTTCTAGATTAGGTTAGCTGAGGTGGGAAGACCTCATGTGTGTCAGGCATTGTACCGAGGGGTGCAGTCCAGACTACACAAAAAGGAAAAGTGGACTGAGCACCAGCCTGTATTTAAAGTATTTTGGTACCAACAAGGGAGAGGGAGTTAATATGCAGGAACTAAATCCCTTCGGACACTGAGGGGCAGTTCACCCTCAGAGCATGGCTGTGAAATAAGAAGCTTTAGAGTATAAAATGGAAAACAAAGAGCTCAGTCCAGGCTCTGTTTGTCTCCCCGGCTTAGCCAAACTCTTCTGTCACTTTCGATGACAACCTTGCAAAGCATCCAGCCAAGAAAACGAGGCACAGAAAATCGGGGAACTGTATCAAAGGCAGGATCGGCGGGCGCAGGCAGCTTGGTTCTGGAGAACTGTGAGGGTCTGCTTACACTAAGGACTTAAGAGAAAGTTCAAGAACGAACAGCACCACCAACCACCCTCTCCATGATAAATGATCTGCAGTGCACTTTTAAATGACTGACAGCCTCTGCCCAGGCGTGTATGATATGACTTTCCTCCGATGAGGAATCGCTACAGAGCTTACAGCGTCTCTCGTAGCAAAGAAACTGCAGGCATTTCCTTTTGTAGTAAAAGACGGAACATGGTTTAAAAAAAATAAAACAACTTTTAAGGCAATTATAATACAGGGACCAAGAAAGTTCATGTTCTAATACAGGAATGCTAACTATATATGTTTACATATATGTATTTAGACAAGTGGATGTGAGCGTGAGTATAAGCTATGAAATTTAATAAGAGACCACGTTTTCAGGGATATGTTGGGGAAGGGGGAACATAACACATGTGCTATGAAAGCTGAGAGGAGACTTCTGAGTGCAGAAGGGAACAATGGGGGCCGGGGACAGAGGAGAATTAAGGGGCAAATAATTAATGGAAACAGATTTTGTTTGAAATTTCTGCAACAAAATCTAATACACTACGCATTAATTAAAAAAAAAGAACACAGGTTTAAGAATGATGCTAAACAGACCACTAAATATTTGCAGGTAAAGAGGGTGAACTGGACAGAGGCATTAACTTGACTCTTGCTTTTGACAGGATTTTCACTAATCTTCAGATAAACACTGTAAATACTGTTCTTGCCTCAGACAGCATCAGCCGGCCAGAGAGGGGTCTTCTTGTTGAAGAACGGACAGGACCTCATCCATCAGCCTTGGAAAGGAGACAGTCTTCCGAGGAGATTCCCCATGAACAAAAACTGTAATGGCATCTGAGGAAATCCAGGACTGCTCACAGCAAAGCAGCCTCCAGCCCACCTTTATTGGTTACTCCAGGGCATCACATGGCCTGGCAGATGCCTAGAGACAGGAGATGCTTCCAAAACCCAAGAACTATACAGAAACAGCCAGTACCCATGCGGATGGCACACATATGCAAAGGGAAACCCACACGGGAGGATGCTGGTACGGACGGTGCCATCTCAGGGTTCATCTTCATGAGCCCTGGTTTTCTGGATCTTTGTTAAGACTGCTCATGGACACTCCGTTCCCAGTCTGGGACTCTCCCATTTTAGCAAATTCTCCAGTGTACTTGTTAAGCAGCACTGCCTTCCTTCCAGGTGCTGAGGACCATCTCTCTCCCCTTCCTGACTTCCCACGGCCTGTTCTTCAGTCCCCAGTTCTCTTCCCAGAAGACACTGCAACCCAGCCTCTTCCCTCTGCCCTGCCCACACCTAACAGCAGACCGCGCTAGCCTTGCTGCAGTTTAACCCTAACCCCCCAGGCCCACACCTCCTCACACACAACCTCCCGACAAAGATGTCCTTACAAGGGGTAAGTTAAGCTGTCCTCCACTCCTGAGGCAGACTCACCTTTTCCACCAAGCAGCCGCCTGATCCTCCTACTGGGATTGGCGGAGCATGGCCTCTCATCTAAGATGTAGATTTGTGTACTTTATGCCTTTAGCGTAACTTCATCTCAAGGCCCATCTCCCTGCAAACGCTACCTTTTCGAAGAAGTCTGCAGCGTCACCTTTCTGAGGCACCCCACCCTCCTCACACTCCATCAGCCTCTTCCTAACCATGTTCACTGGCATCTTCCATCCCCTGTCTAGTTGTTACTTTACTGCCGGCTGCCCTAACCGGGCTGATGCCGTTATTTCTAAGGAAATGGCATGGAGGTCTCCTGTGGTTCACATGTGGCCTGTCCCCTGCAAACTGATACTGAGACTTGGTCCCCAGTGTAACAGCAGTGAGATGTGGCAAGCCTTTAAAGGTTGATGGGGGGGGAGGTAGTGAGACGGCTCACTGGACAACGGGTTGAGCACGCGCCTGATGACTCCAGAACCCATGGACAGGTGAAAGAGGAGAACCAATTTCATCCAGTTGTCCTTTGACCACACACACACACACACACACACACACACACACACACACACACACACCACAAGTAATGATAAAAAACAAAAATCTTTTTGGGGGATTTTGAGACAGGGTTTCTCTGTGTAGCTCTGGCTGTACTAGAATTCAATCTGTAGACCAGGCTAGCCTCAAACTCACTGAGATCTGTGTGCCACTGCCTCCCGAGTGGGATTAAAGGTGTGTGTCACCATTGCCTGGTAATAAATAAAAATCTTAAAGGTGATTAGGTCATTAAGAGGGATCAATGTAGCCAGGTGTGGTGGTGCAGGTCTTTAATCCCAGCACTTGGGAGGCAGAGGCAGGCAGATTCCTGTGAGTTCGAAGCCAGCATTGTTTATATAGTGAGTTCCAGGACAGCTAGGGCTACACATAGTGAGACCCTGGAGAGAGACAGAGTAGGGAAGAGACAGAAAGACAGAGCCGCACAGAGGGGAATATCAGTTCATTTCTTCAGGGACTGAATTTGCCACTTCAAGAGTAGGTTCCTAACAAATTTGTCTACCCATGACCCTGCCCCCACCCCACCCATGCAATCCTGCCATGACACTTTCGGTGGGAAGGTCACCAAGGGAAGTCATCCAGGTGCTGTGTGCTGTGCTCTTGGACTCCTGGGTCTCTTTTCCCTAAGTCAGTGACCTCTTGTGCTCTAAAGGGGGACCAGAATGACCAGAATGCCATGGGGGGGTCTGCTAAGGAAGCATGGGTATGGAGAGTAGGGGGCTTTGTCAGCAGCGGGGAGTACCCCAAGGAGACCTGTACAAGGTAAGGCCCATTAACTTTCCAGATGAGGGAGAAGTACTCATGAGCCCCTGCCCTTCAAGGATTTACAGGCCATTAACAGTCACAGGGGGAGGGCTTATGAGGCCTCTCCCATCCCCAAGATATATAGGTGGTTATCAGTCATTGGAGGAAAATGTCTTTAGTGGTCTAACCACTCACAAGTTGTGCATGCTCCTATAAATAACCCTAGTTAAACCCACTGGTTCACCGAGCTGCTCTGGGATAGAATTGTTACATTGTTTCTGTCGTGGGTGTGGTATGTATATGAGTAGACATTCATTTCTCCTCGGGGGAGAAAAAGTCATACAACAGGGCAAAGACCTCCAGGGACCAATTGTAACTGCTTTTGAGGCTAGTTTTTTTTTAAAAGATCAAGACAAGAGGAAAACTCACAACCGTTTCATGAGCAACCTGGACTACTCAATTCTGTTCTTTGAAATCTAAAAGTGTGGAAGGGGTGTGTACCCTCTGACATCAAGGCTTTCGAGTTACTGTAGAGACACTGAGCAGGAGGGGCCTGCGGGTGGGACTCAGTTGACCAAGTGCTTGTTTAGCATTTGTGGAAGCCTGGTTTTGAGCCCCAGAACTTTATAAACTGCACGTGGGCTCACCCTGTAACCCCAGGACTAAGGGAAGTGGAGGCAGGAGGACCAGTGGCCCGCCCTGTAATCCCAGCATTAAGAGGGGGGAGGTAGGAGAACCAGTGGCTCACCCTGTAATCCCAGCACTAAGGGTGGAGGGTTGGAGAGGCAGGAGGACCAGAAGTACAAGGTGTTCTTCCTACCAATAGGTAGTTCCAGGCTAACCCTGGCTACCAAGAATTCCTACCAGGTAAAACACTGGGCTGGGGCTCTACCTGTCACCTGGATAACTCCTACCTCCTGCCACAGGGCCCTGGAGTAGGCAGTTGGGCAATGTCAGCATCTGCCTTCAGAAATGACACAAACTTGTCACGCTACTCCAGGCTCTTGGGACTAGTGAAGTGCTTGACCTCTTTTCTAATGTAGCTGACATTCATGAAAAAGGTAGACTGTGACGTATTGAATTGAAGATCCCTGTCTCAGACAACAGTAACAGACCTCCACGGTGAAGCCCTTGGCTTCATAGTGGAAGTCACCAGTGCTGTCAACCAACAAAGCTTGTAAAGGGAAGCCTTCCCGCCAGCCTGGTTCCAGAGCCGCATCAGTCCCAAATAAACACACAGGAGGCTATATTAATTATGAAGCTGTTGGCCTTGCTTGTTTCTTACTGGCTAGCTCTGACTTAAGTATTTATCCCATAATTGCTAATCTAAGCATTTCCCTTACCAGAGAAGTTTCCAGGCTTCCTACCCCCATGGTGTTACATCTTGACTTCTGTGTTTCTCTTTTCCAGAGTCCTCCTGGACTCCTAGTCCCACCTATCTTGGTTCCCTATTGGCCAACAGTGCTTTATTGACATATACACAGGACTTCCCCCAACAAAAGCTGAGTCCAGCAAGTCAGGACAAGCCTACCCTTGGATATATTGGTGCCTTAGAAGACACTGTCATTACCACAGGGAGCCAGAGAAGGGCCTCTGCTCACTGGGCCAAACCCTGGAGGTCCAATGAGCAGCACATTCCACTCCAGGCAAGCGGTCCTCATGTGGTCCACAATGATCTAGGCAGTAGATATCAGGACCAACATGTCATGGCCACCCGTTCAGAAAGCAAACACCCTGTCCACCACCCACCAACAGGGATCCCTTGAATGAACAGCCCCAAGGTCATCTCACAAAGATGAGGCCCTCATCTGGCATCCCTGGCAATGGAAAGAAAGCCAGGGCTAGGTTTAAAGATCTTGACTAGGATTTACTGGAGAGTAAAAGTAGAAGGAGAACAATGGCCCAGCTAGCTGTTAACAGAGTGATGAGGAAGGGGAGCAGCCACAGGGTTTTGTTTATAACTGTCCCAGACTAAAATCCTCAGGTGGGGGCAGGGAACTCACAGCCCTCCAGCCCTTGGGTGCACTGACAAAGCATTTCCTTTTCTCCAAGGCCAGGGCAGGATCACAAGAGCCTTTGCTGTTCTCAACCCGTGTTTGTTTTTGTAGTTTCTGCCAAGTTAAATCAATCCCGCTTGCGGCTGCCTTCAAAAATCACGACTCGCTCGAACGGCCCCCGTCTTTGACTTCTTTCCAAGAACGGAGAGCAATGTTCGTATAGGTTTCCCATGGCTGGCGATCAAATCCTCTAATTACTCAAATCGGTGTCACAGAACTGCACATTAGCCACTTGCAAGATGACAGATTGCCATTATCTGATACGCACGGCTAAAGTTCTTCCTTCCACTCAGTTTTGCTTGTAACTGCACAGCCTTGTCGTATGCCACACACACCCCAAGCTGCAGTCTGGGCCTCCGCCAGCCTCCACAACTGGCTTTGTACCAGCCACATCTCTCGGTAAACCCCAGCCATCTCCTGGAACCCAGGTCCAATAGCATGATTATAACAACGGAGTCATTCTTTCCAGATCGCCTAGAGCAGGAAGAGCAAGAAAAGCCCCGTGGTTCTCTGTAGAACAAATGTGTGCCAACTTGAGACCTGGCACAGTAGCTTAATGGTGCATCTATGAGAAAACAGAGCCAGTGGGTGGCCTTGGGGGCTCAGCTACTGGCCAGTGGGTTAGAAATGCAAATGCAAGTAGCAAGATCTCTTGGGCACCTGTGATGACTGAGATCTTCATTTTGATGGGATGGGGAACTGGGATAAAAGTCTCTATGTATGCCTATGAAGACTGTCTACATTAGGTTACTAACGTGAGAAGCTCTGTCCACTGTGGGTGGCACCATTCTGTAGGCTGTCCTCTTGGTAAAAAGGAGAAAGTGAGCTGAGCACTACCATCTCTCTCTCTCTCTCTGCTTCCTGACTATAGACACCATGTGACTAGCTGCCTCCTCAAGTTGGGGGTGGGGGGTACAGGAGGAGGGGAGGGACAACTATGGTGAGGTAGTTGTTAGTTTCCCTGTGTAGGAACTGTTATACGGACACAGAGAATGGAGCCATCCTTTTTTTTTTTTTTTTTTTCTTTTTGGTTTTTTCGAGACAGGGTTTCTCTGTGGCTTTGGAGGATGTCCTGGAACTCCCTTGGTAGTCCAGGCTGGTCTCGAACTCACAGAGATCTGCCTGCCTCTGCCTCCCGAGTGCTGGGATTAAAGGCGTGAGCCACCAACGCCCGGCTGGAGCCATCCTCTTTAGGAGACGCCTGCACACTTCTTAGGGGTGAGGAAAAACCAAGATGTCAATACTCAAATGGTTCCGCAAAACATTTGTAAACTGTATGCGAAAAAAGCAGGAAATGCCCTGAGATCCAGAAACGGATGAACGACTGCCAGGTGGAGCTTGTTAAGAGTCCTTTAATTTTCCATAATCAAAAGCCAGAGGGAGCTGTGTGTGGAGGCGCACACACGTAATCCCAGCACCTGGGACATGGTGGCAGGAGGATCCAGAAGTCAAGGTCAGCACTGACATTTTATTTCTCATATGAAATGCATGTGTGTGCGGATGCATATGGAGGCCTGAGGTTGATGTGGAACCATCATGCTCTACGACTCTTCCATCTTAGTCACTGAGGCAGGGTCTCTCAATCAAACCCAGAGCTCATCAATATGGATGATACCATTAGCCAGGTTGCTCTGGGGTTCTCCTGCCCCACCTTCCAAGGCATTTACATGATAAAACGGTCAGCTTGACACAGCCAGGAAGAGAGAATCTCAGCAGAGGAACTGACGCTGTCAGATTTGCCCGTGGCCGTGTCTATGTGGCATTTTCTTGACTGCTAATTGATGTCATACTGCTGTGGGTGGTGCCATCCCTAAGCAGGTGGGCTTGGGCTACACAAGAAAGGTAGCTGAAATCCCAGCACTCAGGAGGCAGAGGCAGGCGGATCACTGTGAGTTCGAGACCAGCCTGGTCTACTGAGCGAGTTCCAGGACAGCCTCCAAAGCCACAGAGAAACCCTGTCTCGAAAAACCAAAAAAAAAAAAAAAAAAAAAAAAAAGAAAGGTAGCTGAACAAGAGGTGGGGGACAAGCCAGTAAGCCGCATCCCTCCATTGTCTCGCTTCAGGTTCCTGCCCTGTTGGCATTGTGCTGATTTCCCTCTATGGTGGACTATAATCTGGAAGACGAAATAAACCATAAACCATTTCCTCCCCAGATTACTTATGGGCATGGTACTTTTGGAGTTTTGTTCGTTTGCATATGGGTTGATTTGTTGTGCAAGAACAG